GTGTGTGTGTTCTCTCAGTTGTCACCATGTTGAAACCTGTTTTGAGGGGTGATTGGAATAAAAGTGGTGCATGTAAGAAAAAAATTAAACATGCAGTTGCCATACAGGACAGAAATTGCACTCCTCGGCATTTATTCCAGAGAAATAAAAACTTATACTCACACAAAAGCCTGTACACAAATGTGCCTAGCCACTTCATTTGTAATAGATGACAACTGAAATCAGCCCAAACATCCTTCAACAGGTGAATGGTTAAACAAACTGTGGTATACCCATACTGTAGAATACTTCTCAGCAATTAAAAAAAAAATGAACTATTGATACATGCAACAATCTCCAGAGAATTATGCTGGGTGGAGAAGCCAATACCGAAGGTTACATACTGTATGATTTCCTTTATATAACATTCTGGAAATCATAAAATTATAGAAATGGAGACCAGATTAGTGGCTGCCAGGCGTTATGATGGAGGCAGAGAGAATAGGGGTTGGGGGCAGGAAGGTGGGTGTGGTTATAAAAGAACAACCTGAGGCATCCTCGTGGTGCTAGACATATGTAGTGACTGTGGTGGTGGATACATGGACCTACACAAGTGATAAAGGTGTATGGAATGTAATACAAACACACACACACGAAACTGGAGAAATCTGAATAAGATAGGTGAATAGTATCAATGTCAGTATGTGGTTGTAATGTTTTACCATAGTCTTACAAAATGTCTCCATTGGGGGAAACTGAACACAATATAGAAGGGATCTATTTCTGTATTATTTCTTATAATTGCATGAGAATCTACAATTATCGCAAATGAATTAATAATATTTCCTCTTATTTCAATAAGCACTTATTACGTACTTGACAATTGATTTCTGAGGATTAAACCTTCTATATTTTTATTTCAATCAGATGAGAACAAAGGATATCAGAATTTGTTACAAATTAACTCAAATAGTCCTCTGTTATGAAGAGCTAAAATGTATTCAAAGCTGCCCAAAGCAAAGACGTAGACACTTATTTACCAGAAGATATTGATCTGAAACAGTTAATCCTCCTCTCTAAGGGACAACCAAAGAGATCCAGCAAGATCTCTGGAATAAAACCAGCCTGCGAATACTCAGTGTGCCCTCATTCTCTCTCTCTCTTGATTGAGTCACTGGACCCCCATCACCCATCGACACAGAAACTGCCTTAGACTGACTTTGAAATAAGTATTTCAAGTGCACCTTTTATAGGTTATTGACTGAAATAAATTGTTTGGAAGTGTTCACCACTGTGATCATTCTTATTCGTAAAGATGGAATATTTGTGATTTAAATGAAAATATATTCATTTAAAGCTAGTTACCATTAGGCATCCATCAGGAACAAAGCCAGAAGGCAATTCAGCCACACATCAGAGGGCTCTTGCACCTACAAATCATGTCATGGACACAATGGTTCCTTGCATTTACACTGGGAGCTCTGTAGGCCAAGGGTCTATGACTTCAACACTGCACATGTGTGGCTGTGATTTAGAACTCTCCAAGGTATAGATTTACATTACCATCTGCCATCTCAGTTGCTGTTTACATCTGCCTTAAAAGGAGGGTTGGGCATAATCAATTAAACTGTGCATAGAAAGCCCTGGAAAAACCAACAACAACAACAGCCTGAACTTGGGAGAAGTACACATGTCTATCCAAAGGAGAAATAAGGAATTCATACTCTCTTCTCTCTTTGAAACTATTTCCTTTGAACTTGGAAAATTAAGTGACAAAAGAGTATTTTAAAATTCCTAACATGGCTCAGCTTCTCTGAAGAGACTCAGAAATAATCTCAGCTGTGTATATACTAAGCCAGCCCTGGTGGTCTAGTGGTTAAGATTCGGAGCTCTCATCGCCCCAGCAGATTCGTGTCCTGGTCAGGGAACCACACCACCCATCTGTCAGTTGTCATACTGTGGTAGGCTGGTGTGTTGCTGTGATGCTGAAAGCTATGCCACCGGTATTTCAAATACCAGCAGGGTCACCCATGGTGGACAGATTTCAGCAGAGCTTCCAGACTAAGATAGACCAGGAAGAAGGACCTGGACACCCAGTTCTCAAAAAATTGGCTATGAAACCCTATGAAAAGCAGTGGAGCATTGTCTGATACAGCAATGGAACGTGAGAGGATGGCACAAAAATACTGGCAGGGTTCCGCTCTGCTGTACACAGGTTCACTAGGAGTTGGGATCAACTCGACAGCACTAACAACAAAATATATGCTTTAAAACTAATTTAATGATGAAGTGGGAGTTGATAAAATTTTACAACTTTTGCTCTATGAAAGACTCTGTTAAGAGTTTGAAAAGACAAGCTATAGACTGGGAGAAAACATTTGCAAAACTCTATTCTAATAAAGGACTAGTATCTAGAATATATAAAGAATTTTCAAAACTCAATGCAAAAAAACCACAATCAATCCAATTAGAAAATGAGAGAAAGACGTGAAGAGACATTTCACCAAAGAAATGTAGAGATGGCAAATAAGCACATGAAAAGATGTTTAATATTATTAGTCAACAGGGGAATGCAAACTAAAACCACAGTGAGATATCACTACACGCCTATGAGAATGACTTTAAAAAATTGTTACAGAGGGGCCGGCCCCGTGGCGCAAGCGGTTAACTGCACGCTCCGCTGCGGCGGCCCGGGGTTCACCAGTTCAGATCCCGGGAGCGCACAGACGCACTGCTTGTCAAACCATGCTGTGGCGCCGTCCCATATAAAGTAGAGGAAGATGGGCAGGATGTTAGCTCAGGACCAGTCTTCCTCAGCAAAAAGAGGAAGATTGGCAGATGTTAGCTCAGGACTGATCTTCCTCACACACACAAAAAAATTGTAACACTGAATGCTGGCAAATATATGGAAAAACTGGACTACTCATAAGTGACTGGTGGAAATATGAAGTAGTGGAGCCACTCTGGAAAACAGTTTGGCAGTTTCTTGTAAAATTAAACATGCAATTGCCCTATGAGCCATCAATTGCACACCTGGGCATTTGTCCCAGAGAAATGAATACTTATGTTCAGACAAAAGCCTGTACAGGAATTTTCATAAGAGCTTGATTTGCAATAGCCAAACACTAGGGACAATTCAGATGTCCTACAATAGGTGAGTGGTTAACTTTTGTATGTACCATGGAATACTGCTCAGTTGACAAAAAGGAACAAATTACTGATACGTGAAATAACTTGGGTGACTCTCCAGGAGTAATGCTGAGTGAAAAAAAGCCAAACCCAAAAAGTTACATACTGTATTATTCCATTTACATAATATTTTTGAAATGACAAAATTATAGAAATGGAGAACAGATTAGTGGTAACCAGGGGTTAAGGAGTGGATAGGGGCAGGGAGAGTGAGGAGGGGGAGGGGAGGGAAGTGGGAGTGGCTATATAAGGACAACATGAGGGATCCTAGTGGTGATGAAACTGTTCTGTATCTCGTCTGTATCAATATCAATATACTAGTTGAGATATTACACTATGGTTTTGCAAGATGGTACCATTGGAGGAAATTGCTTAAAGGGTACAGGAGACTTTGGGCAGCCTCCATCTCTATCCAGGAGGTTCCAATAAGGACCAAGACAAACTGAATCAAGCAAAGAAGCCTGCTCCCTACTGATTTGTTTGCAAGGCCTCTGAAGAAATTTTAACCCTAGCAATCAACCTCAGGATGAGTTTATTATGGTTCTAGCCCTATTATTTGGGATGCTGGCAAGTGGAAAGGAGGCATCGACCAGCTCAAAACCGATGACTACCAGGTAGTTGAAGCCAGCAAGGGCCTTCTCAGGATCCGCACTGCATTCCACCTTGGGATGGAAAGGAAACCACATGCATAGATGGTGCTCATACCTCTTCTGTGAGAACTCGTGTCTTGGGTGCCATTGGTGGGTGGCCTCTCGGCTGCCCTCAGAGGTCTCAAGCCCTTCCAGTCTGTGCTGATCCCTACCTGATCCCCGAGACTAACCTCCCTGCTCTTGATGCCCAGACCAGTGATTACAAACTGCTGCTTCTCCAGCCTGCACGGGACGTTTCCCCCAGTGAGCTTACCCAAAACACACACCCTTCCTCTCCATCTGACAGCACATCACCCCCCAACCCTTACTTCAACCCCTTTTTGGCCCCAAGCCTTCCCTGGAATGTGTGTGGATTCCTCGTACTGGAACATTTGGTTTAGTTCCTTTGAAGGAGCAAACTTTTCCTGGCCACCACACCTCTACCATGTAGTGAGGGCTGCTTTCTTTGCTGTGTGCTATTTCTCTCTGAAATGCTCTCTTTAGTGAGGGGTACTTTAAGAGCATGAACTCTAGCTTTCAATTATTCAGTTCAAACCCTAGCCTTACCACCATTTACTAGTGGTGAAACCTTGGGCCCCAACTTCCTCATCAGTGAAATGGGCATGAAGACAGCAGCTTATCTTGCAAGGCTGTCATGGCTGTTAAATGAGTTGCTATGTGTCAGGAAGTGTGCTTGGCACATGGGAAGTCTCATGTCGATGTCAGCAATTGCCACTATTCTTCTTCTTCTCATCGTGATACTATTCTGAGAGGCAGCAGTGGTGGGTGAAAGTACTTTGAGTTTAAACTCAAATAGATTTGAGGGTTAAAATTAGCAGTGGTAAGTTTTGGGCAAGCCACTTAACCTCTCTGTGCCTCAGTGTCCATGTTTGCAAAGTCAGGCGAAAAAAACTTACTATACAGAGTTGTTATAGGGGTTAAAGGATCTAGCTGGTTTGTCTGGATTTCTCTGGCCTTGCACACTAGATACTCAAAGCACAACTCTGTGTATTGTGTGCTTGTAATGGACAATTATTGCAGTTGGGAGTAGTGGCAGTGAGATTAGTCCTCTTTCCCTCTCCATCCCCCTTGCCCTGGCGCCTGAGAAGCAGAGCATCCCCATGGCAACAGCGGCAGCTGGTCCCTTGATAAGAGGAGCTGGAGCCCAGCAGCAGCAGCCACTGCGCAGAGGAGCCAAGGAGCCAGCCCAGCTTCAGAAAGGAAGCACACCCTCCAGTCTCTCGCCTTCTCATCCCGGCACCGACAGTGATTGGTAAGTGCTTCGGATTTTTACTCCAAGAACTGTTGTGGTGAGAAAAGCAAGTTTCCAATAAGTTACAAATTCTTTGTGGTTGCTGGGACAAAGAAGGCTGCAGCTGGCAGCGTGAGGGGCATGGGGTGGGGTCTGGGTTGCTTTCTGGAGCAAGGCTAACCTGGGGCTAGATGGGGAGCAGGAAAAATCACTACTTTGAAGTCATTTTTCCAAGGGAGGTGGAGTCCTGGGTTCTGTAAGAGCCAGAGTCCTCACAAATTAAATTGCGAAGTTTCAAGATGAACACTGGTATATCTGCATATTCACACAGCAGGGTGGAGAGGCTTACCTTCCAAGTCTGGGGAGAGTGTGTTTATCAAAAAAACCTCTCCATGCCCTACTTCAAGGAAGAGTCACTCCTGGAGGAATACTGCAAATTGAGGTCTTCTAAATGAACAAATTTGATTTTCAAACGTGGTACTATTTGACCTGATTTCAATCCTCAGGTTAAAAAGCGATTTGACAAAGGATATGAATTTTACATAACTAGAGGGTACTTGACCCAGACACCGCATTGGATTGTGGACATAACCTTCTAACTTTTTATTCCGTCAAGTAAATCCAAGCCTGATTACGTAGGGGAAATTCTTTACAATGCCGCAGGACTAAGCTAAGTGTCAGCTCACTACTGAGAAGCAGTATTACCATGTTGCCGTGACCTGGAAATGGGTGTTCTGCAGTTGGTTTGTACCTTGGATTGTTCTCATCTCATCATTAGCTTCAGAAAAGGCCAGAGATGGGACGAGGAGATGATTCCAGTGGTTCAATTTAGATATATGTGTTATAATCACAAGGGGAGAACTGAATGAGCAAAGAGGGCAGCTCATGTTTCTTAAAGTGTTAGCACGCGCCGGGATCTGGGCTGGGAGCTTTACACACACTATATTGTTAATACTCTCCACAACCCTAGACAAGAGCCACTATCATACCCATTTTACAGATGTGGAAACTAAATTTCCAAGAGGACGTATTGCTTTCCCAAGTTCACCCAGCTAGAGAATGGTACAAGCAACCAAACATTTGTTTCCGCCTCATACTGCCTCACAGCACCAAATGCTTAGTCAGTGAGGAGTTTTCTATCTATGAATTAAACTGCAAAGTCTAACCCCCAACTGAGAAAGCTACTCAGTGTTCAGAGAAAGGACAAAGTACCCAGACCAACTTCTGGCCTTGAACTGGACCAGTCTTTTTCAGCAGCAGACATAGCGCTACTGTCCTCCTAAAACAGGAGCTGGTTGTGAGCTCCCGGATGCAGGCTCCCCCAAATGTGTCCTCAGCTACAGCAGGCTGCTCTGGCTTGCCTGTCCTTCTGCAACTCAGTGGGCTTCCCTCCCTGGCACCCAGTGCCCAGGACCTTTCAGTTCCTGTCCTCAAAAGAGAAGTTGATCTTTGTCATTAATAACCCCTGTGTATTGTGACATCAGTTAATATCTCTCTCTCTCTGTCTCTCTGTCTCTGTCTCTGTCTCTGTCTCTGTCTCTCCTCTCTCAGTGGTATTTGCATTTACAAATGTCTCTCTGTGAAAAGAAAGATTTTGTCCCTTGTGAAAAAGAATGTAAGAATTAGCAAGAGGGAGTTGCAAGAATGTAGCATCAGGGTCCTGAAAACCTCCTCAAACCCTTGAAATGATATCTCTTGGTCTCTAGCACATGCTACACCAAACCATCCACATTCTCTCAAACAACAATGAGAAAAAGAATACAGACCCACATTCCTTTATTTTCTAATTCAGAGATTTGCAAAACTCTGAACCAGAAGTTTTTTGTTCTTGTTAAGTTCAACATAAATTCATTTGGTAGCAAAACCTGACCTGAAAAGATATGAGTCTTTTTGTAGTCTTTATTTATGTCATTTAGTGCAAAGGTTCATGTTTTTGCTGCAGAAGTAATGCATGTGATTGTGGTGTTCCTGAGACCCTCCTGGGGGTGTTACGTAATAAAAATCTCCTGATTTCCATAGCACATGTGGCCCCAGGCTTTTCAGGCAAGGGTGGGCGGGCAGATATTAACAATCACAGTGGTGGTCCAAGTCGTCACTGTGTGAGTATTAAAATTCAGAGACCACCCTAGACCAATAAGCAGCAAGAGAATGGTAAAGTGTCACAAATCTTTGTACTACAGAATAGTTTATGAAACAGCCCCAAAGCATCTCTGAAGGCCCTGGCCCTTTGGTTGGAATCTGAAGACCCAGGGACCAGTATTTAGATACGAAAGAAAGAGCTGGTGCTTTAGAAAGTTCCCAAATTACAGCGAGCTGCTGAGGGAGATGATGAAACCTCCCCAGGGCAGCATGACAAGGGCAGAGTCCCTTCACTGGTGCTTTGGGTGGAGACTGAATAAAAGAGAGGGCAGAGTCAGGAAGAGGAAGCAGAAATATTCCATTTCTTAGTTCAGGAATTAGATTGAACTAAGTTCAGTCTTTGTGTCTTACAGTGGCTCAGTCAGAGCACCCCTTCTCAAGGAGGATAGAAATGGAGAGTGGGGAGAGAATGGGGTCATCTTATACAACATTCAACAGGCAGGTAAAATGACAGTTGTTAATAAGACGATGCTAAACTCCAAATATCTCTCTCCTCCAAGTACTTGTTCTTTTCTTTATGTGAAGATTTTCTGCCAAGAAGATCGTAATCACATCATTCACGATAAAAAATATCTTCTAATCCCATGGGCAAAACACATCCCTGCCCAGCCTGGGGTATTTTTGTAATGTAAAATCCCAAATGTGAAAATCATCTCTCAGCGTCCTAGCAAACAGACGCTCACCAGTTCACCACCATTGTTCTTTCAATCACACTAATTCAAAATAGTCCTGTTTTCCCCGTGGACACTAGGTGTTATCTTGAGAGGAAGAGTGTGTCGGTTTTGTGACTAATCACTAGGTACCCTCACCTTGTTCCAGGGACTTCTAACACTTGCACGGCTCATCTCCCAAGGACAGGCTCCTCTCTCTCAAGCCCAGTACTGCGAAAGCCATTTTGCTCAGATGAAGGCTGGTCCTCCCATGGTTCAGCATATAGATGAAAATGAAAGATTCAATGAGTTTTTTTTAGAATTTTTCAGTTATACAGCTGGTCTTCATTAGCCAGATATCCAGTGTGGTATAGACAATGTTACATAAAAACGACGGCCACTTACTCAGTACCTACAATGTGCAAAGCATAGAGCTATCCTGTTTAATCTCCACAGTAACTCTGCGAGGCAGATGTTGTTGTCTCTATTTTACAGATAAGAAAACTGAAGGTAAGAATGCAGGGCAGAGAGGGACATATGTCCCTGGGTGGCCATCTGTGGGTTCACCACAAAGATGCCAGCCTTTGCAGATTCTGTCACAGCAGCTGTAGCTTGTAGAGGGAAAGGGCAAAAATGATTATATTGCACATGGGCTCCATTTACCCTCCTTACATCATTGAGATGTAGGTACTTCATCAACGTCATATGGCTTTTTAGTTAAAGAGCCAAGATTTAACCCAGATCTATTTGACTTGAAAGCTCAGATTCAAAGTAAGTAACCAGCTATTGAGCACATAGAAGCAGCCATCTGATCCAAGTTTAAAGAACAGCTTACCTCAGGTTGAAGAGAAGGAGAGGGGTGCTATTGCCATCTAGGACCTGGAGTAGAAGGCAGGAGGCCTGAGTTCAAATGATGACTCTGACTTTGTGTGTGTGACTAATGGCAGGTCATTTTAAACTCTTTGAGCCTCAGTTTCCTCTTCTGAAGAATGAATGTTTTTTTGTTTGTTTTTGTGGTGGGAAAGATTGTCCCTGAGCTAATATCCGTGCCAATCTTCCTCTCTTTTGTATGTGGGACGCTGCCACAGCGTGGCTTGATGAGTGGTGCATATGTCTGAAACCGCAAACCCCAGGCCACTGAAGCAGGGCACGCAAACTTAACCACTATGCCACTGGGCCGGCCCCAAGAATGAATGTTTTGACTAGATCTTCCATGGGATGATTTTCAACACAAAATCTATGACGGGGCCCGGGACTTTCTACCCAAAGAAGAGGAAGACTAGTTAAGTAGGTGCACAGGCCATATTCAAGGCTGTAACTGCCTCTAGACATCAGCACCGAGCCCACTCATCCCCACAGGTGGTCCCATAGCTTTCCTCTCCACTCAAGCAGTGGAGACTGGCCACCCAAGTTAACAGTTCACTTCCTTATGGTCCCAGGGAGTGTTCAGCCCCTATAAAAACACTAAAAACAATGGTCTAAATTGATTTCTCCTGAAGTCACTCAGTACAATCAGTCTGCTCAGAGTGACACTAAAAGCTAGGCTCAAGTAATCCGTTAATGGCTCCATCTGCTATGCAATGATCTCAGCTTGTAGGGGGAGAGGCCCTCCAGTCTTCCCGGAGAAAACTGGCTGATTCCTCAGAAGACGACTAAGTTGAACTAATTCTCTGAGCTTGAAATGTTAACACAATTGGTCTGTGCGTTCATCTGCATGCCAGTGATCCAGGATTCTCAAGAAAAGAGGATCAGTTGGGTCATTTTAATCTAATTCCTCTCCAACCATTCTTGCTATGGTAGGACATGAGTAATAAATTATCCAAAGGAAACAGAACTTAGGCAGACTGTAATGAAAATTTCCTATAAATCTCAACTAATGCATTTCTCATTCAGACCTGACACATGTCCATTCTGGATTTCCACTCCTCCTGGACAATGACTATAACTAATAGCTCTGAAAAGTTCAATGGATTTGTGGTCTAGGAAAGACGGGGGATGAGGGAAGGGAAGGGGAAACAGACTTACTCTGATGTCAGAAATCTCTAGGGAGAAAATAATAAAGATCCATTTCAAGACCTAGATTTTTTTCCTACTGCATCTCTACCACTATTGTAATATGGGTAGGGAGGAAGTCTATTACTTTATGATTACAGCATGTAATGGTAGAAAACCAGAAGCCTGATCCAGACTGGGTTCAGAGGATTAACTCTTTTAAAAGTCTTGAGTATCTAACAGAAGTCTGCCAAACTGTATTTGGATCCAGGCTTGGCTATTTAATAGATGTAGGACTAAATAATTTAGATTTTCTGATCCTCGGTTCCCTCATCTGTAAAATAGGCATAATGCTACTTTGCAGAACTCAACAGAGAAAATATAGACAAAGTTTAATCAAGATTTTCAGTAACTCTTAGCTAACTCATTTCTGATTCAGACTTGACAAGTGTTCACTCTGAAACTCCTACAGTGCTTCTGAGAGAGGGCAGATATTGAACATTTGATACATAACAAATACAACAAATCCATGTGCGTGTGTGTGTGTGTGTGTGTGTGTGGTTCATTTATTTTGGCTTAAATCTTAAGTTAGAGTTTCTAGTAGCTAGGTATAAGAAGCAAACTTAAAAAATAGAATTGAATTGGTAAGTGATCAATAAATATACCTATGTAGTAAATGTATGAATGTACACACTAATGGACTTGTTTCTTATTCTTCTGTAGTGGTGGAGGAAAAATACACCCACCAACCCTCCTTTGATGATGTCCACTGAGCAAATGCAGCCACTGGAGCTCTCGGAAGACGGACTGGACAAGCTTGACCCTTGTTGCAACCACTTAGGTAAATGCTTCAGAGTGAATGGCAGCAGTGGAAGTCAGAAAGAGGGTGTCTCTGCCGTGCGGTTTGCAGACAAGTCAGAGGGAGTTTCCCTGAAACCTGATAGTTTGTGCCTTCTGGTGACAGCCAACACCAGATGGACAGGCAAATAGCCATGGGTCTGTGGGCTCTGCCATGTAAAATTAGCTGAAGCACTGGAGAGAAGTTCATTAGAGTTAAAAAAGAGAGAAAAGGCATTGTCCTCTTTTTTGGGTCTGACCGAGTCCCAGGCAGAGCATTTTTGAGGCAATAAATGGAATGTGGCACTGTAGCGTGTTTCCAGTATTTCCCGGCACACTCACACCCTGTGTGCGGTGGCAATAAAATATTTCAAATATCTCTCTTTGCCTATCAAGACAGAATTTTAAATAGCCTTTTCCTGCTTTATTGTCAATCTGTTTCCTTTCCAGAACTGACTTTTGCATAACCTTTGTAATGAAAATACCAGAAACATTTCTGCCTCTACCCATTTCTAAAAATGAGACACTCAGACTTTTGATGGATGGGCCTTTTGCATATTCATAGCCTTTGTTTATGTCTTGCCTGGTTATGACTCCCTCCCCCACCCGCCTCTCCTCTCTCCCCATTTGCCATCAAGATATTTTATGTTTGAGATTTCTCCAAGAATGGGAAAAAGTGCAACTGAAGTAAAAGTCAAAATTGAAGCAAATGTTTTGCTCTCTGTACTGTGCACTGAGTCGCATCCTGGGGTCGAACGGTGACCCATGATTGGTCCATATCCAGCCTGTACCTCCAGAGAACCCTCAGCTGGGCAGAACCCATTCTGAGCAACATTCATTCATTCAACAAATGTTTATGGGATGTATAATATGGGGAGAAATTAACCGTGCTATGTGGTAACAAATTTTTATAATTGCTTTTTTGGGGCAGGCATTAAGATACCTTAATGCCTGGGTAGTCCCAAGGTCCTGGGTTTAATCCTGATCCCACAATCTGCCTGCAGTATAACCTTCAGCCTTTTAGCAGGCCTTCTACACCTCAGTGTCCTTATCTGCAGATTGAGGATAATAGTATACCTTCCTTGTGGGCTTGGTGATAGAACTAAATGAGATAATGTGTTCAGAGATGATATGAATATTTAACAAGTGGTAAAACACAGGCATTGACAAATCAGAAAAGATGTGGGTCCATCCCACACACTAGGATGATGTGAAATCACCTAGTGATTTAGTGGTACTCACTAAAGTCCCCTTCTCACCTCCTTTTTATGTGTGTGTGTAAACTTAAAAGCATACAGTCCAATGCCTTACACATAGTATGATCTCAATAAATGTTTGGTAAATTGAAATGATTGGGTGGAATTATTAAAATCCTTTAGGTGAAAGAGAATATTTATTACTATTAAATAAGACTGAAGAGAATGATGCTATTTTATTTTTTTGATTATGCATAGTGATCTTTTGATAATGCAGGCATAGTGATGTATGATTACTAAATATTTATGATGGTAGATTCCTCATGCACATTGAGTTTTCTAAAACAAAGGATCATTCAGACATAAAGTCCAACAGACCATTAGCAACTTGAAAGCAAGAATCATTTCTTACTTGCCTTTTTGTTCCTAGAATCTATAGCTCAATGCCTGGCATATAGTAGGAACTTAATCAACACTTGTTGACTAAATAAATTAATGAATGACACAGGCTATGTCTAGATTCACAAAACTGAAGTGAAAAGGTTTGACACACTTAATCCCCACTGTTTTAAAGAAATTGACCTGAATATTTTCATTTAAAAAAAGAAAGAGAGAAAGAAAGCAAGGAAAGAAGGAGGGAGGGATGAAGAAAGGAAGTAGTGGGAAAGTTCCAGTTAATCTCTGAATTTCCCCGAATTCCTTCATAGTTATAGACCTAGCCAGACTGTATCCAGGCCGTAGTGAGTTTCCAGAGAAGACAAATAGCTTCATTGCCTTGTGGCTTCTTTGAACCCTAACAGAATAGCTCCTTGTACATAATATGTTTGAATTTATTTGTTCAAGCATACATTCAACAAATATTTATTAATTGGCTCTAAGGAGATAAAAGAGGAGCTACCTGTTATCTAAGAGGGCAGAGAGGCATATGTGGGAATAATAATTACATCATCTTTCAAAGGTGTTACATGAACAAAAATGCTGTGGATATTCAGAAAATGAGAAAGGACACCTAAGACTGGGGTTAGTAAAAAAAGACTTACAAACATGGGGCAGGGGTCTTTCCTCTGGGCCTTGTGGGAGGTGTTAGCTGGTGAGCAATGGCCAGAGTGGACATTTTTTGAGGATCTGACATATATCAAATGTATCAAGTGCTTTACCAACATTAACAAATTTAGTTCTATCTCTTTGTCTCTCATACACACATACACACTGATTTAATATTATCCCCGCTTTAAAAGCTGAGAGCATATTATAGTTCCTAGAAATTAAAGCCTAAGTTCTCAGAACTAACAAGTGACAGAATCAGGGTTTGAACTCACATCAGTCTAACTCCACTCACTCACCCATTCAATGTGCATTTATTGGAGAGAGAGGTGATCAAGAATAAAACTAGTAAGAGGATATAATCCTCAAGCAGGCACTGTCTAGAGCAGGAGATAAATCATTACAGAATGACCAAGTGCCAGAACAATAGCAGAGAAGCTCAAAGGAGAGCAACATAAACAAAAGCATACAGGAGTGAGAGGGAGCAGAGAAAGTACTTCAATGGGCAAGGAGTGATCAGATCGAATTAATTACATATAATAACATCTGAGGGACATGATGTAGAATCTAGGCTTCAAAAGCTCTGCTGAGGTGATGCAGGGGCCTGAGGAAAGGAAAGAGATAAATAAGCAGACAACAGGACCTGGATTAGGATGGTAAACAGAATTGCAAAGCCAGGGGACAGTGAGAAGACCACTGCTGAAGAGCAAGTGTGAATCATCAGTGTGACTTGGCTAGCGGGTGAGGAATTTACCGAGAACCTTACTACAAGACTGAAGAGAGCGTAAGGCTCTAAACTGGTCCTTGGGGTCTCCAAAGGAAGCAAGCCTTGACTGAAGGGAATTGAAGGAGCATTTAGCACAGAGAACGTGTTCTCCCATCAGAAATTTAACTCACACTCGCTCTGTGGCTTTCCTAACTATATATTGAAGTTCCTCTTTGCCTTGCTTATCCATCCCATTTGAGTTCTCTTCATTTGGAGTTTTACAGAATTCTAGTCTTCCTTTTTATTACATGTATTCATGCAAAGCTACTAAAGTCCTCTGTAGAAGGGACCAAAATAAATAAATACTTTTCTTTTTCAGACCAGGTTCTTCTGCCCCTACTATCAGGTGTAATTGGAAACCAACTAGTTTGTCACTGACCCTTACTCATGTCAGATTCTTTGTTCTTTGCATCCTGTCAAAATCAGATGATCTTTCAGACCAGTTCATTAAGGACTGTGATCTCAAAAAGCAGCCAAGAAAGGGAAAAAATGCACAGGTCACGCTGAACGTTGAGTCAGAACAAAAAAAACCAAGGAGAAAAGATACGCCAGCCCTGCACATCCCGCCTTTTATACCAGGTAATGAAGGGGAGGTCAGTGTGCACCTCTCTAAGGGGAACCACTTGTCACTGAATCACAGTGGTCTGACAACTTTTTCCTTAAATATTTGCATGTTTTTTAATCATTGGTACAATCTCTACATCTGTCTTAGTTACAATACGGCCAGCTGCTGTAACAGATCAATTCCAAAATATTAGTGACATAAAACAAGTTTATTTTTCACTCACCAACAGGGGAAGTTGGGGGTAAGGGAGGTAGGCTCTGCTAGAAACAGTCATTCAGGGACTCAGACTGATGGAGGTTGGGGCATCATTAGCACATGGCTTCCAATGTCACCATGAGCGTCATCGACATCCAGCATCCCATCATCAGGGGAGGGGAGACAGACTGAAGGGTTGGCAGGCCTGCCAGTGGCACACATCCGTTCCTTCAGTCACAGGCCTCACCTGACTGCGAGGGAGGCTGACATAGCCCAGCTGTGTGCTCAGGAGAAAAGCGGACAGGTTTGGTGAACAGCTAACATGTCTCTATAACAGCCTTGCATGTGGCATGTGACACTCTCTTGTTCCCAAAAGTTTTGTTTTGTCTTATTTCCTTTTCTCCTTCCCTCCAGGCCATTTATGTAATGTTCTCTCTACTCACAACCCCCTCAGAGGGATACAAAACAAATAGAACACAGAGCTTTCTAGGAAGGAACTTTTAGTTTTATAAGAAATTACAGAAGCATATATATAGGTGAAATATGCAGTAAGAAGTAACATGATAATGGAGGTCCTTAGATAAGGACCCCAGGAGCTCAGTCTGGGCCCGTGAATTGTGGAAAGTTTTGTAGAAGAGACTGTTTTTAGAGAGTTTGTAAATGATGGAGAAAAATTTCACGTGTAGAAGAGAAGTGAGAAGGCAGATGGGTGGAGATAGAGAACTAATTAAGTCATTGAAGAATACAGCACGTGGCTTTTGGAAGAGCAAATCGTCTATCACCCTGACGAAGATGGAGTCTGGAGGCAGACAAACCTGGGCTCAATTCCTGGCTCTGACACCTGTAAGCTGCGTTACTGTGGGTGCATCGCTTTGTCTCACTATCCTCAGATATGTGATGGTGGTAGTAATATTAAATTCCTCAAGGTTTTGTGAGGCTAAAATGAAATCAGGCCTATAATACCCTTTGCATAGAGGATGTTCTCTAGTGTAGCCTCAATAGATACTAATTTTTATTATAAAGACAGAAACTGCTTTTATTAAAATAAGTTTGAAAAGATATATTGACTACCATCACCAGGTATATGTGCAAATATGGATGCACAGTCTTGTGTATTAGAATATATGGATTTGACCCTGTTTCTCCCTCTGTTCCCCTAACCATGCAGGTGTGTTTTCAGAACATTTAATTAAAAGATATGATGTCCAAGAGAGACATCCAAAGGGCAAAATGAGTCCCTCTCTTCATAACACTGACCTGGAACAGAAGAAGCCAAGGAGAAAAGACACACCTGCCCTGCATACATCCCCTTTTGCAGCAGGTAAAAGAGCTGGTGCAGGGCATTTGCAGGGGGTGATGGGAAGAGGTCAAGAGTCTTACCATCTGGAGGTGCCGCGGGCGTGGCCTTCATCCTGGCCCAGCAATCTGTGCCGCACAGAAGTGCTCTCGGGAGGAGCAGCATTTACTGCTGCCTTTCAGGTTTACCTTCGTTGGAACTTCCCCTGGGGCTGACTTGGAGATGGGAGAGGGTCAGAGCATTACTCATGCTTCAGCAGAACTGGTCAAATTCACTGAGCCAATGAAGTAGAAACGTCAGTGGGTCCTTGAGAAGAGTTGAAATACCCTCTTCTCCAATCTTCCATGATTCATGCATCCTATGGCTGATGGCTGACTCTCCCGAGACACCTGGATATATTGACCAAATCCTCAAAACAAGAGAAAGAGAGAAGGAGAGAGATGCAGAAATAATGATAGCTATCGTACCATGTGCCAAATCAGACCAAAAAGGCAGTGTGTGAGGTATAATCTTGTCCCTGAGAATTTTATGTGCAAATTGGAGAATAAGACATGTACATTCGTGCTTAGAGTATAAGGCAGTATGTGTGTGTTTGTGTGTGTTTTATATACATAGTTGGCGGGGGAGTGGTAGAGAAGAAAATGTGTTAATGTTTATTGAGACTCTATTAAATGTTAGGTATTGAGCTTGGCATGTCTTGTGAATTTTTAAAAATCAATTGAATAATACAATAAAGTAGCTATTATCTCTCTTTACAGATAAAGAAACGAAGAGAGAATTTAAGTAACTTAGCCACTTTAAAGTCTTGGGTGGATGAAATTGATGGATGGATGGCTGATTGGCTAAATGCTTAGATCGATGATGGGATGATTAGATGGATAGGTGAATGAATCAAATTATACTCAAGGTCAAACACTATTACATGGCAGAGCTGGGGCTCTAATCTAGGTCTGTCTCACCTGTGGGCAGTTTTTCATTGTACTATGCTTTAGTTGGACTTTTAGCATTATAACAATCCAGAAGGGACACTTTTGGGAGGAGATGAGATTTGGTTGTCATTATAAAACCGTGTTTCCCCATTATTTCATTTAATAAAGAAAAAAAATTGAAAGACAGCTCAGTAGAAGACATCATGGAAAGGCAGTCAGGAGTGCAGACAGGGTCACTGACTTCTGAGGAGCAGAGGCAGGCAAGGAGGCCTAGAGCAAGAGGAGGCACTTCTTTGGAGAAATGGATCAAGGACCAGTTGGGAGGGTCTGAACCTGCCTCAGTGGTGTTTCTCATAGGTTACATACATTCCTACATACACTGATCCTCCAACCCATCACAAACTTCCCCCAAGCTCTGCCTCTGTCTGGGTTCCAATTACTTTTCAAGACTCAGTCATCTCACAGTCTCTGCTGACAGACCCCTCCAAGTCCCAAATGAATCATTTCTATTCTGAACTGTGTGTTAGACATGAGCATGCAAATACCAAGACTGTGTCATCTCTTTTGGTATTGTCCTTATTGTTCTTGTTGCTGTTATTGTAGCTGTTATTTAAATTGACTCACATCAACGACTTGTTTGATAAGTTCATGAGAACTGGCCTGTGATTGCCATATGCTGTGGTATTGACCTTGATGTCTAGTCCAGTCTCTTCTGTATAGCAGTGCTCAATAAGCATCTGTTGATTTGATATTGTATTTGGCCATCACAATTCTGCAGTTCCAAGTTCTGCATTAGGAGACTGATTATTTTCCACCCATTCTTGGGTTTGCTTTTATTGAAGTCCTTTTAGGGGAAGACTTGGTAGAGGAACAAAAATATTTATGGGCAGATAATCACCTTAATACACAGTGTTGAACGTGGATTTTGGAGACAGAAAGGTCTAGGTTTGATCTCTGGTTCTGCTCCATTCTAACTTTGTGACTCTGGGCAATTAACGCAAACTACAAGAGCCTCCTTCGTTCCATTGATCTCTGAAAGGAAGACCATAAAATCTGTCTTCCAGGATTGTTAACACTATTAAATAAAGTATATAAAGCACTTAGCACAGTTCCTGGCTTATTGAAAGTCCTCAGTAAATGTTAGTTCCCCTCCATTCTCTGTTCAAACTTATATTCTTTGAGATAAGTCAAACCATTTCTGAACGTGAGAATTTTCCTAGCCACAGTGTTTTACCTCTCCACATAAACCTGCTAATTCAAGGAACTTCCTAAAATGTTGAGCTCTGTTTATCTGGCAATGGATACTGCCTACATCCCAACATCTACATCCTAAGTGAGCAGCTTCCCGGTTGAATAAAAAATGTTTATCAAACAGTGCAAAGTTACACAGAGCTGGAGAGGGGGTCTGTATATCCATAGACTCTATACACGTTATGGAATTCCTTGAATCAGCAAATCTCTGTGTTGTGAGTATTTGCAATTATAGATAGTGTTCTATGATTCTAATTTTTATTGGCATATTAGCTGAAGCACTTTATTTTTGAAGAGCCTTTTAGTATCTAAATATTTGGCAGTAATCGAAATGCTAGTTAAGCTGATAAGGATAGAGCCTTCAGCAGATGTTCAGAGAGACTCACATTGGTTCTAATAAGAGTGTTGAGAGAAACACATAGAGAAATGCACTCCAGAGACATCTCCTCTCATTAGCCTTTGGCAAGTGAAGACTGGACAAGGATTTGCTCTCCCTTCTAAATCTCTTGCTAACTACCTTCATTCCCCTAGGTTAATGAGCTTACTTGACAGGTTCCAACTGCCAGACAACTCCTCAGTGAGGAGTCTCGTAGGCTTTCTTGCCAGTCCAAGGTTTGCTCCCAACTTGGCCTGCAGTTACCAGGGCCCCCCATCTTGATGACTGCATGGCAGGGAGCACCGGGTTGTGATTGGTCAGATCTGAGTAGCCTAGACCTGCTTAAAAGAAAAAGAAGTCTTTAGTTGAGGTCCGTGGCAAAAGAAACCAGGGAAAGTAAGGAATAACGAGGCTAGAAGCATTGCAGAGAAGCCTTCCAGAAAATTGGTCTATGAGCTATGAACATTTGGGGATCAAATCTCAATACTGTACTTGTAGAAAGGAGATTGATTTGTCTTTTGAAAGTGACACTTCTTCTGTCCTGCTGGGAATAGAGCATTCTCTCTAGTGTGGTTTACCAGGAGAGGTGGTGTCTTCACACTGGCTCCCTTAGATCAGAGGCACACATCTGCAACACAGGTGACCACCAGCTTTAGACGGTGCTGTGGGTGGGTATTCATGGCCTCAAACAGCTTGCTGCAAGGCTAGTTGCCTCTTAGAGACCTTGGACTGACATCTTGGGCCTTAAAAACACACAAAGTTCCAACAAGCAGCCAAGTTCCCTAAACTCTCATACATAGAGAGTAGAAGGGAAGGAACTGATATTTCCTAAATCCCTCCTGTATTCCAAGTCCTACGCTGGATGTTAGAATATCCTTTGAGAACCTCACAGTTCAGTAGGGGAGAAAAATGTACTGTCCCATGATTCCTGTGATGTGAAAAGTGCTTTAACAGAGGTTCATGAAAGACGTGGCTGAAGCATAAAAGAATGTTGGCCTAAATCTATCTAGCAGTATCACCCTCTGTGGGAGAATCAAATTATTTTTTCTACAGTTTTAGAGATGAAAAAACTGAGGTTCAGATAAGTTAAGTGACCTGCTCAAAGTTGAATGACCACTAAAGGAAAGCTTTCTGGCCTTACAGTGCATTCCTTCAACGATACACGTCTGCTCCCCACAGGAGAGCATGAGGATCAGGACTGGGTTAAACCAGACAGACCAGTGTTTATTAAACCTTGTTCATCTTCAAGTGACCAAAGCCAACAAAATGAAGCATCAAGAATAAGAATACAGTGATGACACATAGACACTACTGATGTAAGCCTCATCCTAAGCAATGATCATGAAATCAAGATTTTGAAGAGCTACCATATATTTTTTCATTATAAAACATTAAATTAATGCTTAACTGTACTAATAGAAACACTAGTTCACTTTCCACTTGAAATTATCTCCTGCGTCCCTAGCACACTTTGGGAATGGCTGACCTTGATGATTAAACAGGCTCCTCCCTTCCCTGAATCCCAGGAATTTTATTTATTTATTTATTTATTTTTGCCCAGATGCTCATATGACTAGGTTTCAAGGATACTCAAAATAACCAGAAATTCCCAGATCTGGGAATTTAAAGACTCTTATCCACTTTGAATCAATCCAAATTGGGATTAATGTGAAAAGATATCAAAGAAGGTAGGATGGAAAGTTTAGGGGCTCAGCATAACTAACTCTATGTTCTCTTACCATGATAGCCTTAATTCCAAACAAAAATCCAAACTTTTATACAGCTGGTATAAGAGAAAATATCTCCCACTGTGTTTTATGAGTGATTTATGCAAAAGCCTTAGTTTCAGCCAGACTCTTGAAATTGTTTTTCTCCTCCAATAAATATCAGCTAATTGGTAAAGAACCCATATGAACAAACTAGGAACTGAATCAAATGAATAGTCATTAAGATCAACACACAGTTTTCATTAATTCGCCACTGTTGAATGGAGGCCAGTGTTGTAGAAAGGCCTCTTGTGGTGCACAGCTTTCCTCCCTCAAGTTTAGATCTTTATGAAATGCTTCATGAGCTGAAAGGTCTCTAATTATGAGGAGGGTGGGAGGCGTATGAGACAGTGGTGGGGAAGTAAACCTGGCTGGCTGGAGTGGGATGACAGAAATCGTGGAGGCCTGGCCCTGAATCAGAGCTTTCTTTGTCTTTTTATTAAAATGACCCTACTTCACAATTCACAGAATAAGCAGAAGCACCCAGAAGTCCTTGGATGGTCTTTTCTGGGCTGATGAGTCCAGAAAACTGTGCTTAGGCTTTTGAATTTCACATACCAGTAAACTTTTAAAAACAAAATATTGTGGAGCCTTAGGGATAGCAACTTTTAATTTTGCATAGTAAGGATGCTAAAAACAACCATCTAACGTCCCTAAAATTTCGTTTAAAAAAACTATATTTTGAGGCTGGCCCGGTGGCGCAAGCGGTTAAGTGCGCACACTCAGCTGCAGCGGCCCGGGGTTCGCCGGTTCAGATCCCGGGTGCTCACCGACGCACCACTTGTTAAGCCATGCTGTGGCGGCGTCCCATATAAAGTAGAGGAAGATGGGCACAGATGTTAGCCCAGGGCCAGTCTTCCTCAGCAAAAAAGAGGAGGATTGGCATTGGATGTTAGCTCAGGGCTGGTCCTCCTCACACACACACACACACACAAAAAAAAGATATTTTAAACCCCCAAGAAGAAAAAGAATCATCTCAAAGTAAAGAACAACTTTTTAAATTGTAGCCATAGAGCTGTATGAAAATCTCACTGCACTTTCCTTATTTTCTCATTTTTCTCTGAACCACGTAAACTTTATCACCTACCAGTACTGACATTTAGAAATGGCATGTTCAGAGCCTCAGCTCAATATTTTCCCCAGATGTTAGTACAAGGTGTTTAAATTTGACTCCATGAGGCTTATCAGCTCTTTTTGAAGGGAAAATAAACTAGCCAATTGTGAAGGGAAGGAAAAGTTGACTTTTATTTGCTCGCTATGTTAAGCATTGCTACATACTTCTTATTTCATTGTCACAATGACCCTTTATACAAGCATTAGTGCCCTCATTTTACATAGGAGAAAATTTAGGTGTGAAGGCATTAAGTGACCCAATGCAGATTGAGTGGTGGAGTGAGCAGTTGGAGTCCAAAGTCCGTATGCTTTCCATCTCACTGTGCTGCGAGCTGAGCAGCAGAACGTAGAGAAGCGGGTGACGGTTCCCTCTAACTCCCAGGCTGAGCGTCCACTTGTAACCAGAGTGGTGTCCTCACTGAGCCACAACTCCTCTGGGAAGGCCAAATGAGGCCACCAAACTCCCTCTCTCTCTGTTGGCACCTTTAGCAGTTAGTTTTGCATACACTAAAGGTTTATGTGTTGCCATGCTCCTGTGTACTGTGTCTATGCTGTGAGGTTGTCTAATATTTTAATTAGAGGCATTTAATTGCAGATCTGTGCTTTGTTTTGCAGGTGTGACACTGCTCACGGACGAGAGACCCAAAATGATCATGGAAGATGACGAAAAGGATGGTGACAAGATAGCTATTTAAAGAGATTTCCCCTAGGACCGCTTGTAAATAGGCTAGATTGGTTCCCTATGGTGACCTAGAAGAAAATAGACTTGTTTCTGCTCTCATTTTGTCATTGTCTGCCTTAAGATCCATGCACCTTTTCCCCAGGAGACACGCTGTATCAGATTGCCAGTCACCTCTTTGTCTCTCTTCTTCCTTGAATCTGGTTTCTATTCTCACCTCTTGAATTTTCATTTTCCAATGCAGTGGAAAGGAAGCAGATCATCCTAAATTAGGAGGTAACAGGGAAAACTTTAGTGTTTAGTTTCTGCATCTGCTAGATCAATTAATGAAGCAAAGAACATGGATAAGATGGGGATCTTTTATTTCTTGGCTTATGCTGCTGGGCAGGACTTGGCTTAACATTATCCAAACACCAGTTCAAGTGTGGGCTCCCTGTTACCAGTTAGGGAGGTGAGAATGTTTGGGTTCAAATTCACTGATTGCTTTGGAGAACATGGACTTTTTCTCTTATCCTATCTCGAGAGTCCAAGTGTTTGTGGTGACATTTCTAAGATCTTTGTAACTAATACCCTCAAGGTGAATACATGAACTGGGCAAGTCAACTCAGCCAACCATACCTTGGCTGAAAACACCAGAGGTAGAGAATGCTGGTCTATCTGGGAAGCTTAGCAATATATCTTATTTATTGTTATCTTTTAAAACAGTTCTCAACCCTGTTGTCTTGATGTATGTGAGTTGTGTCACAAGTGAACCATTACTAATGATAGGTAAAACACCAACATTTGTGATGAATTTACTTTTTAAAAAATTAATTAAGGTCAATGGAAGGCCATTCCTATATTTTTAGCATTCTCACTTGCTTGGCCCCCATACGCTTTCTTGGATGGGAGGGAAAGATGTGGGGTGAGCTCGTGAGCAGGAACCTATATATAACCCCTGCCCCAGCCTGCAGTCTGTGGGTGCCATGGAAAGGTTTTACATGAGGGCCTCATCCACCAGGTGATGGACATGGGAAAAGGTGAAGACTATTGTTCAAAGGTAGAAAGGTGGATATTTTAACAAATCTGCCTAAAAGTGATCATTTGGAATCTCTGTATATACCCTGTCTCCAGCAGTTTGTTAATCCTTCTGTCTTCCTGTACTCTTCACAACAGTGGAAAAGATGCAGGATCCTGCTGGTAATAAAGATGCTTCTAACTACATCTCTGTGTCTTGGTGTATTTCTCCTAAAAATATACTATTTACTTACAATTATAAATACCAGAGGTTGCAAAAGAGACTCACAAGGATTGTTTGTTTGTATGTGTTTGACCCACAGAGGTTTAAAAATGTTTGAATTAGCTGTTATTATCTTGTAATCTAATCAGGAGAATTTACATAAAATTCTAGATTTCCAGATTCTCTTGAAAAAACACCTCACGATCTGGCAACCCTAGATTTGATTAGAAACATGGCCACCATCAGCTGGCACTGAGCACCAGATGCCCTTTTAGAAGGAACACACATTCTCCAGCTCGCCGTTTGCCCCACCTGGTGCATTTCACCCACTGACTTTACCGCACCCCCCCAGCCTTCACGTTGGAGTTGGAAACCCCTGGTGAAGACCCACACTTTGTGTTCCTAATGATCTCTCACCTCTTTGGTCCCAGTGCTTCACTTCCACTACTGATGGCCGCAATCACAGCTTTGGGTGAAGGGGAAGATTGTGGCCAAGCTGCTGGTTGAGACATACGTAGTGAAAGGCCACCATAAAGTCTTTAAGAAGCGAAAAGCAATTACAGGTATATGGATAATAAGATTATATCACCATCAGCAGCAATTTTTACCCAGGGATTCTCTCTAATAAAACACAGATGAACTCTCGTCCTATCGGATTTGCTGTACCCGCACCATGTACTCCTGCAGCCATGCCAGCAGAGTGTGCCCAATAAACTTGCAGGCTACTCAGAAAAGCCCTCCCCATTTCTGAGTTCCTGGGGTGGGGTGGAAAGTAGACTGGCTGTTGTAGAGACAAAAACCTTGGGTTCTAGCCCCAACTGTGTGACACTTTACAAGTCCCTGGAACACTCGATATCTGTTTCTTTATCTTGAAAATGAGGATAATAATCCTTACTTTGCCTTCTTCATAGTTTGAGAATTAAATGAGATAATGTATGGCAAAGGGCTTTGTAAGCTAAAAAGGCCTATCCATCTGTAACACAGGATAATTTTAAGACACCTTCAGAGTATGGTCTGCACCTTTTTTACTGCCGAACCCCCATTGCCTGGGTATTAAATGGGTGGCAGTTATGTAGACTTTAATCACAGCATCGGAAGAAGTACTTCAAGTCGGGAGATCCCATCACTTGTGCAGCCTTAACTGAAAGCCATGCCCCCCCTCTTTCCAGGAAGATAGTCTTCCCAATAGTCCCAGCCTGAAAGGAGCGCTCAAAGAATGGCGAGGGGCAAAGCCAGTGAAAACATCTAACCAAGCTTGGACATCACTGGGGTGATTTGGATTGACGCGAAATCTCCCTCACTTTACTTGACCCTTGTGGCTCTTTTCTGGGAAGGTAAAGCGAGGTTTATAATTAGGATTACATTCCCATTAAAATAGTTCTCAATACATTGTAAATAACTCCCCTCCAACCAATAACAGTTATATTAAGAAAATACAAGCATTACATGGTAGCCCATTCAAAAGGAAGGCCCAAAGTAAAGGCATTCCAACAGAACTAGCAAACAAGTTGGCCATTTGTTCATTCTGAAGGCATCAACCCCAACCGCAGCCTACCTGAGATGGGCAGGCACTGCACATGACACACTTAGCTCTCTTTCAAAGCCCCACACAGGGGTGGCACCTTCATTTAAATCTAGACCCTATTTAAAAGCTGTTGCCTAATGGAGTCGGCCCGGTGGCCTAGCAGTTAAGTTTGCGCTCTTGGCTTCGGCGGCACGGGGTTCGCAGGTCTGGATCCCGGACGTTGACCGAAGCACCGCTTGTCAAGCCATGCTGTGGCAGCGCCCCATATAAAGTAGAGGAAGATGGGCACGGATGTTAGCCCAGGGCCAATCTTCCTCAGCAAAAAGAGGAGGATTGGCAACAGATGTTAGCTCAGGGCTACTCTTCCTCACACACACACACACACACACACACACACACACACACAAAAGCTGTTGCCTGAGATCACACAGCCAACTTCTACTGCTTAATTATCACTTGGAGAGGCAGAAGCTGGTGCTGAAGGATCAGGATAGGACCATAAAGGACTCAAGCAGTGTTTCCTTCTAAATGCAATTAAGTGAATTTTCCCTCCCAGGCCTGTGTTGTCCAGGTTGTTTTCTTAAAACAAGGATAAACTGAGATAGCATGTGGTTGTGAAAATAAGTTAGTCAAGCAATTATTTTTCCTAGCTGGGAATAAGAGGCTAGTTGCATGATGGATGTTGTAGAATCTCTGTCATCTTGTGTAAATGAGGCTCCCTTGCCACTTGTAATTTCTAAGTGTGAAAATGTTTCTCAGAAAACTCCCCAAGGTAGTGAATGTATGCGCCGGAAATGGATGAACTGAGAATATCCTCCTCCCAGCCTCCTCGACACAGAATTGCCTTTGAACTGGCTTTAATGGATCATCTCTACCGAGGTTCAGACCAATACAATGACCATAATTCCTGACCCGGAAATCGGAGCAGAAGTCTCTCCATAGATAAGTATATTTATGGGAAAAACTGCACTATTTGAAATGAGATTTTCCCTGGAAAATCCAAGATATCGGCTTACCTTTCTCAAGAAGAAAATGATGGGTACTTCTTAACCCACAGTAGCAGGTTCTTCCAGCAAGATGAGATTCCAAAAATGACATTGCAGGATACTTGCTAAGAAGGAGAAATAGAAAATGAAGGACAACTGTGTTCATCCTGACCAATGTCACTCTTCCATCTGATGCCAAACGTGAACTTTGAGGGTGAATACGAACAGTAAACTACAGATTCTCATATCCTCATAATTTTGTGTTAGAACTCCAGAAAAAGAAAATATAGTTTAATATTTATCAATCAAATCATACATAAACTATATTGAAAATTTATCACTTAATCATTACTTAATGCCCTTCATGAAAGGAACAGTGTGCTCTGAGCCCTTGTGTTTGTTCACTCTTTCTCCTCTATCATCTCATCTGATCCTCAAAACCAAATGTTAGAAAGCTAAAAAGACAGGGAAATTGAGTTGGAAGAGAAGCCAAGATGGGAACTCAGGTCTCTGAACTCCTAGCAGTGCAATTTATATAGTGTGGAACTGTTCTGAAAATCCTCCTTAAAGCAGGGTCCAATGTAGAGAGAAGGTTAAAGGGAGAGTGATTCAGAAAAAAGTGAATTATATAAGTGGTTCCTTCTAGGGACTTTTCTCTGCCCTCTCTGTGGAGATTAATTTTTGAATGAGTAAGTACATAAATAAAGATGTTCTACTTCCAGACACCCAAAATTTAATCAGTGCTAATAGATCCTATGCTTTAGGCCGGTGATCAGAATATTTTTGTCTTCCCACTTCACTCCATCCCCCATATTATCCACTCTCACTTTGCAGCTGGAGTGACCCTTTTCAGAACACAAATCCGCCCAAGTCAGACCCCTCCTTAATGTCTTCTCATTGCTTAGCATAAAGGCAAAGATCTCAAGCCTGGGCCTGCTCCCTCCACCCTCCTCTGTGCTCCAGTGACACTAGCCTCCTGATAGTTCCTAATTGTGCGTGTTCCCTCCTACCACAGCATCCTGTCACTGCCAGGGACGCTCCTCTCCCCTCCCTCCCACCCACAGCCCCACCTCTGGCCCCATGACACCCGGTGAAGTCCTGCTCATCCTTCAGAGCGCAGCAAAATGCCACTTCCTGGGGAAACTCTTCCTTGTCTTTTTGACCAGGTCGGGTTCTCTCCATTAATTGCATGTTCTCTAACCAGACTGTTCTTTCCTCCAAAGTCCTCTCTTCTCATGATTATCCACTTGTGAAACTGATTAACGTCTGTGTTCTTGCTGTTGTGTAAGGCCCAGGAACACTGGGATTGTGTCTAGTTTTGTACCACCTATCCCCTATACCTGGCATGGAGTTTAGCATGATGTTAACGCTCAAGAAATACCAGTGTGAGTGAGTGAGTGAATGAACTCTGCATGAAGACAAGCCCGATAGTGCAAGGTTGCCATGCCATCTGCCTAATTGGAGGAACACAAGGTTACAAACTCCTGCAATAGACCAGATAGTCACTACCAGGCTGAACACAAACATCAGCCACAGCAAGCTGGTCTGCTTCCTGGACCCCCAGTCTTCCCTTTAGCACCAGGGAGTGCTCTCAATTAGCAGCCCACCTCACCAAGAGCAATTTCCTGTTATCAAGTCCTCCTCCCTCAGGAATTAAGGGTGGAGTCAGAGAGAGGGAGGGGCAGCTGCCCAATAACCAGAGGGCATTGAGTGTCATGGCCGGCCAAGGAGAGAACCTCACAGAGGCTGGAGTTGGGGAGTTTCAGCATGAGGGGTAGGGAAGGAGTCGCTGTGCTCCAGAATCTAAGGCTTCTGCTTTTTAAGCTGCTGCATTATCACCATACATGTTCACCCTAATGGTTATGTAGTACGAGGAGAAAATGTCAATTATTATTGACATTTGAGAACTAACAAAATGACAAGAGAAAACCTAAGATGTTGATGTGACCGTGCAACAATATTACAACAATTTCCATTACAGTCCTTTGGAGTAACAGTTTATTATTTGTATGTCCTGTTATTATTATTGCAATAGCAACTAGGTTCCTCATCAATTATGTGTGCAGGCCTCTGCTCTTTTTTCTAATCATAGAAGGAAACTTTCTGTATTTTGATTCCTTCTTTACAGTCTGTTAACTTTATAGCACACAAGCTCACAGCTTAGGCAGGGAAGCCCTGAGCTGGTAGACATACCTCCCATCAGCCTTGACCTTGGGCCTGATGAGTTTTGGTCCATCCCATTGGCTGCAGCCCAAAGTCCTGTGTGTCATGGTCCTGAGAAGATGAGCTCCCTTGTGCCAAATGCCTTAACAAGTGGGGTAAACAGGAACACTTCTGACTGAGACTCATCAAGGCCCAACTCATCCCTGCTGCTCCAAGTGACTTGTAGATGAGTGAACTTGTCATGTGATATCGAGGACCCTGGGAGCCCATGCCCACCTGTGCCTGGGTCTTGGGAGAATT